CACTACACACACTGAAGCAGGTATAAAGTCACCTCAAATAAAATACACATTAGCCTACTTGGCTAGCAATCACACAGAAGAATACCCTAGAAAATACAGAGTAACCACCAGAAAACACAGCAACTACATAGCAACCACCCATAACAACCAGCAACTGCAGAGTAACCACCTAGCAACCACCAGAACACCCAGCAACACCAAAGCAATCACCCAGAACACCCAAACAACTGCATAGTAACCACCTAGCAACCATTCAGAACACCCACCAACTGCATAGCAACCTCCTAGCAACACCCCAGAACACCCAGCAACTACATAGTAACCACCTAGCAATCACCCAGAACACCCAAGCAACTGCATAGTAACCACCTAGCAACCATTCAGAACACCCACCAACTGCATAGTAACCACCTAGCAACCATTCAGAACACCCACCAACTGCATAGCAACCTCCTAGCAACACCCCAAAACACCCAGCAACTACATAGCAACCACCTAGCAATCACCAGAACACCCAGCAACTGCATAGCAACCTCCTAGAAACCACCCATAACACCCTAGCTAGCAACTACATAGGTACCACCTAGCAACCACCGGAATGCCCAGCAACACACTGGCAATCACTCAGAACATTAAAGGAGTTTGGAGTCAATACGAAAAGAAAATATGAAATACTTTTATTCATTAATTCTGATTTATTCATTATTTCTGAAGGATCATGTGACACTGCAAGACTGGTGTAACGATGCTGAAGATTCAGCTTTGATCACAGGAATATAAATTACATTTTACAATAATTGATTACTGTACAATTTTTGATTAAATAAATGCAGCTTTGGTGAGCAGAAAAGACAAATTTCAAAAACATATTTAAAAATCTTAGTTTTAAACAGTAGTGTAGCTTATTCGACCATCTATATGTCTCTAATAACAAGTGATAATTTACCCAAAAGTGAAAATTCTGTCATACATTTCTTTTCATAGTGTCATTACAAACTCATGTGAACACAAAAGATAAACATAAAATATGGCAACACAGCCCTCAGATGATCAAATGATAAATTCTCTCTGTTCATCATACAAAATGATCATGTCAAGACATTTTTTATATTTTTATAGAATTATATGCAATAGAAATTGTTTCAAAGCAGCGTCCCGATGATAAACAGGAAAGTAACAGAATTATGATGCAAACTGCATCAAATATGGATGAGACAGATTCTGCTGTAAAGCAGCTTTAGCGAGATAATAGCGATCAGGTCACTTCAGAAGACTTATGGATTAATTTCACACTATCTTTATGTCCTTCTTTGGTGCTCTGCAGAAGAGAGATATCCATACGAGTTTGGAAAGATATGATGGTGAGTAAATGATGACAATTTTAAATTCTGCATGAACGATGCTTTTAAGGGCAGACCTACAAGATAGAAAATGGCCATTCAGATGTGTTACATACGCAAGAATAACCATTACAGTTTCTTTTCACTTGTGTTGTAGTTAAGGAGCTAAAGTTAACACAGTACAAAATGTCAAACATACACAAAAAAAAAATTTAATTTGTATAATCACTGTTTTTGTTAGATGAAAAAAGGCCAGCTCGCTCTTAAATGTGAGTGTTTATCTGTACATTTAGCTGGAGATTTCATCTCTCAATAATCATTTAAGTAAAGAAAGTAAGCAATTATTGACGACGGGTCGTTGAATTATTAGAAAATAATGCACACCCGAGGTGGCAACGCGACCGGAGCTTTATTTTCTAATAATTCAATCGACCGGGATCAACTAATCCACTAATACTGCAGTTACCACCTCAAGACGGTAACACTTTACTTGAAGGGGTGTGCATAAGACTGACATGACACCGTCATAATCATGACATGACACATCATGAATATGAAGGAGGTTTTATGCATGTTTATGACAACTGTCATTAAGTGTCATTCGCTCAATTATGACATTTTTAATGCAAATATGACATTGTTTGAGATGTCTTTGTTATGACAACTTGACATAAACCATTACAATACATCATAACCTGTCAGTGTCTTTGTCATGACAACTTGACATTACTAAGACAACACAACCTGTCATAAACATGACATAGCAGATTAATTATCAAACTTAAGAAAGCACTTAGCTTTATGGGTTAACATTACATTAAACTGTCAGGTGGTTGGTTTTGACATTGGCTGTCATGAGGCATTATAACATTTTAATGACAATGTGTACCACTGTAGTCGAGGTCAAGAAAAATATTCATGACAGTTATAATGGCCTCATGACAGCCAATGTCAAAACCAACCACATGTGTCATGTCATGATTATTAAAGTGTCATGTCAGTCTTATGCACACCCCTTCAAGTAAAGTGTTACCCTAATTTCTTTCGCATCTCATCCCATGCCTCCGTTGCTAATTCATTTTAGAGCTAGTAACGGAGACTTGACCCACTTATACCACACACACACAGAGAGAGAGAGAGAGAGAGAGAGAGAGAGAGAGAGAGAGAGAGAGAGAGAGAGAGAGAGAGAGAGAGAGAGAGAGAGAGAAATACCTGAATCTGTGTGTCTCTCAACAGTGTTCGGCAGCAGCGTCTCTACTAATAGTGAAACTGTAAGTTTATCTGCTTCAAAAACAGCACCATTATACCCTCGCTAGTGAGAAATTCATGTAGCTTTTAAGCTGTAAAACTATTTTACTGATAAAATTGTCAGAGCAGCGCTGACAACGCATTTCTGTGCGAGTGTGTGTCCGTACTGTAGACCTATTTGTGTGCGTTTGAGCGGGAGGAAAAGAGTATGTGCTTTTCAAGTTTTCATACATAATAAAACGTAATTTTGTGGCAAAAAACATGGAAATATTTTGCCGTTTTTTCTTATTGTTTACTATATTTATTTGTTTTGTCAGTGTCGTTGTGGGTTTTAGTTCTGTGGGCTGTAAGAATCTTTGAAATAACTAAAATGATTTGGCGCAGTGATATAGAGCTGTAATGCGGTCAAAACCTGCCTGAACTACTTCAGCCGTGCGTTTCCCTGAAAATAATGGCACACCTTAGAATGTTCGTCAACCAATCAGATTCAAGCATTTAACAGCCATGTAGTATAAGTGCTAATAAATCTGTGTGCTGTTTTTAGATTAAAAAAAATAACAAAATGCACACTTGATCCTAGAACAATGCTGAATCATAAATCTCAAATGTATTTTAAGGCTGACCATTTAAATTAGTCACGATTAAGTTATTTAAGTTTACAGAAAAAAATAAAAACTTTTAAAAAGTATCATAGATATTCAAGGATGCTAAAATGAAAATAATCTTTGCAAAATATTATAGTCATCTCTGCATAATAAACCAAGAGCAATGTCTTTTAACATTTAACACACTTTCACCTTCACATCTGATTTTTATTACTCTGTCTTATGGAAAAGTGCAGATTGTGTATTTATAATTTAGTAAGTCTGACAGACACTTGGCCTTCTTAGCTAACATTTTCCATTGTTCTTATGGGATAGTTCCTGCTAAAAATAGATCTCTTTGGAAATTATATTACATATTAAGCCTACATTTAAGCAATACTGGGATGAAAGTCATGCAAGACAGAGGAAAACAATTGCTTTATAAGTGGCTTCAAGGGATAAATATGAGCTAAGACAGCGATCGACCTTTGACCTCAGTGTCAGTGGAAAAATAAAAAGCTACAAAGGTTTATTTTCTTTTCCATGTGAGCAGCTGCGGTCAATGATCTTTCTAGGAGTTTGGTTCCTCATTGAATGTCCTTTTGTAGCAGTAAAGCAGGTGTGGTGCTAAAATAAACCAAGGCTTTGTGGAAGCTTCAAACACCCTGACCAAAGAGAGACCCCAACGGGTAATACAGTCATATGATTAGAAGGGAAAATGAGGGGGACGTTGGAAAATGGACCATGTTGGTTAACAAATCACAGCATTAAGAAAGATTTTCCTTTGCAAATCCTTTGTTTGGCGTTTCTTGTGCTTCAAAACAGTGGATAATTTTGCAAAGCAATTGGTTCCATTGATTCAAAGTTTTGAAAAGCATTGTTTCTCCCATTACTACTTGGGATGGGCTCTTATGATTTGGGCCAAAAAATAAGCAACCAAACAAAACACCACAGCAACCGCATAGCAACCATTTAAAAACACCAGATTGGCATTGGATTAGCAACCCCTCAAAACGCAGCCAAGCATGATGGTAGGGAGTTTTTGGCAGGTTTTCTAAAGAAAATGTAAAAATCTAGTTTGAATCACTGCTAGAACACCACTTATTATAACCAGGCTATTATAAATGTAGGCTATTATAAATCAAAATTAATTCAGAGTGGCTTATATAGTGGCACCAGGGTCTCACATGGCTAGTAGATGTAGAAGATATGTGATGGAGCAAACCAAGGATTTACAAGTATGACCAAAACAAGTGAAATCACAATGTATTTCTGTTAAAGGTAAGGTCGATAATAAACTGACAAGGCCCACAATCAGACCTGAAGCGTTTCTGCAGGGCATGGACTCATTCAAATGAATGTAGATTGCATCTGTGCAGTCTAACAAAATAAATATTGAGGTAATATGTCCAAAAAATACTATGGTTGTGTAGTACAATGTCCAAAAGAACAGGGTACTTTTTGGTGCATTTTATCAAATACATGCCATTCCCAAGGTAAATGTCCAAAACATTGTATTACCACGGTGCTTATGCAAAAACCATAATACTGTCATGATACAATGTCCAAAAAACAACAACAACATGGCAGTGCCATGATCAAGAAAACAAGGTATATTACCATGGGCTACATATCCACAAAGCAATATAGTAGGCTACCATAGTACTTTTTTTAGTGCAATGCTCATGTCCCACAAGTCACACTTCAGTAAATACATTATGAATCATTTTAGGAGCAACAATTTATGGCTTCCACTTCCGCGACATCAGGTCCCGCTGCGATAAACCGGGTATTAATCGGGGTAAAAGCAAAGCGCGTGCACGCCTACCTTTAAATGCTGCTCGCTAAAAAGCTCTTCGCACACTTTGCACGCGATGAGCGCGTTGGGTTGTTCGTTGAGCTGGACTTCAGAAGTCGCCGCCCCTCCACCGCTCTCGGACTGCTGCATGTTCGGTGCCTTTGATCTCAAACGCGGTGCCTCTGATCTCAAACGTGCCCGCGCTCAGCTCATGGCGCCATGCTCCGCGTTCTACTTTCTCGTCTCCAAAGCAGCGCAAACCGTCAAATTGACACACACACACTACTGTACATGCAGAGCTAGTGCATGCATAGTGCTACTACCATAACCGTGATGTATTCCTGAACCGAAAATGACGTCTACACTTGCGACAGACTGCACTGGGGGCCAAAACAGCTGATATGACGTCATGGTTTCCGCTTACGCACGAGCGCTGTGCATGGAGCATTGGGGTTGATGCAAGTATTATTTGTGAAAATGAACTAGATTGTTCAAAATGTAACCAGGAACACGAGAGACACTGAAGACACGGTTAGGTTTGTGTAATGTGTGCAGTGCGTGCATTTTAAATGTGATTATGACAAAGATTATCACTGTAAAATGGTGCTTGAGTGCCCTCTTTTGGTCAGATTTGTTGCAATGCAGGCAGATGGCAAAGCTGTGGACATTGAATGCATTGCACAATGCTTACAATATACAGTATTCTGATACTCAAATTACACTAAAAATGTCAGAATGTCATTGCAAAATACGAAGATATAAAGACTGCAAAAGCACACTTTACATGCAAAACAACAAAAATATTTCTTTCAGATTAAAACGAGCAGGAAATGAATACAGTCAGTGTTGTGTGATTGGTTTTATGTTGTGGTTAGTGGTACATGTTCATAGTTAATGTGCTGAACTGCACCTGTGGACCTGTGTGAACTTCACTTCACCCAAATCACTGTGACGCCCTGCTATTCTTAACTAAATTAAATATTTCCCCTGTGTTTTTTTTACACGTTTTAACAGAAAGGAAATGTGACTTCGTTAATCTATAAAATGGTTATATGGAGAGATTCTATCTATCCATCCATCCATCCATCCGTCCACTTTAGCATTTTTTTTTTTTTTTAAAGGTACATATTAATGAAATATTACTTTAAACGAATATACAAGTGCAAACTACATAGAATGTAGGATTCCGTTTAGGAGCAGCCGTGGAAAGAATACACTATACAGAAGCCATATAATTAATTTTGGACACTTAATTGCATGTTATTTGCAATTAAATGACAATATAAAAAGTTTAAGTTTAAAGCATGACAGAAGATTATTAAAACATAATAAAATGGACTTTAAATTAAATCTTTGGTTACACTTTTGTTAGAAATGTATTTTCTTTCTCCCAGCTATGTTTTAAGGTATCATTGTTACAGTGTAATTATATATTTATAAGTACTGAGTAATATTAATGTACTTACCGTACTATAGGGTTAGGGTAGGATTAGGAATTGGTTGAGGGTTAGTTGCATGTAATTATGCATAATTGACTGTAAATACTATGGTAAGTACATCATGTAACATATGTAACAAGGACACTGTGAAATAAAGTGTTACAAAAACTTTTAATTGGACTATTAGAAAGTGCACTTTGTCATTGAAGTGTATTTTCTTTAAGAACACTTAAATGGCCTTTTATTTTAATTTATTTTTTAAATATATTACATGCAAGTACAGTTTTTAAAATAATTATGCTTTTAAGATTTTATAAAGTTTTAAGATTCGATATATTTGCTGATATATTTTTAAATATATATATTTCAGTACATTTTAATTCTACTTCATTAAGACAGCAAACAGGATTAATTAATTTTAAATATGTGCCCTACCCTTAAACCGATCATCTTGAGCTGACCAGGCTCCCATTGGAGCGGATTTGAAAGGGCAGGCAAGTCATGTGGGGATCAGAATCCGAAATTTACCATAATCCTCCAGAGGAAAAGGGGGGAGAGAGAGTAATTCCTAGTTACCTCTACAGAACGTAGCCTGGAGAGGTAGACACAAGAGCTTTAGTGTGTTAGCTATACAACAAGTCCTACACAGTCATAGCAAACTCTAAACACTCGTCTAGCTTTTTAATTATGGCCCAGGCCAAAAGTGATATGAGTATCAACATGGAGATTTCTAACGGAGCTGTTATCCACTGTCCTGTAGGATCATGCATGGAGATGGAAGATCGGCGGACTGGGGAGGAAGAGGAGGAGGAAGATGAGGTTGAACTAGGTGAAGAGGTGGATGAGGATATGGACGATGGTGGAGAAGACAGCGTAATGCCCTCAACAGATGTGATCGTCCATAAAACAGAGCAAGAGTATTTTATGGAAGACCTGGAGCACCAAGAAAGTGCGATTCTGCAAAATGAAGAGGTAAAATATGGAAAGATGGAGGACGAAGTGGACATAAGGCCTGAGCTATCAATTACAGTGCAAACACAAGTTTCGAAAATGCTGGAAACGCTGTATGAAGATGAAAAGGAAAGCGATGAACAACAAGTGCAGACTTTGAGCGTAAGGAAGATGGAGACACAGGACCTGCTCCTCTCTGAGGTAAGACAGCTCACTTGTTGCCTCCTCGAGAAAATAGAAATCAAGTACAGAGATGATCAAATGCAGCAAGTAAAAAATGAAATAGTTTTGCAAGAAGAGGAGCATGAAGAGGGTGTCAAAAACGATGTGGATGAAGAGCCACGGATGGTTTCTACTAGTGAAGCAGGTTCAAAAGAAAACTTTCAGAGTCTTGGGGAAGAGGAAGAACCAGCGACATTTGAAAACACTGGCAAAGAAAAGTCTATGACCGAGGTGCCTTTATATGAGGGCTGCAAAGCAATTGGCGAGCCAATGCACAATAATGCCATTGCCAAAAATAATGATGAAGAAACATCCACCATTAACAAAGCAGCAGAAGAAAGGGTGATTGACTGGATTGCAAAAGAACAACTATCTCAAACTGATCTGTTTGGTGTAACCGTAGAGGAGATGGTCCAGAATTCAGCTCAGTTGGCGGAAAGCATCGTGCAACAACGTGGAAGATTAGAGTGGCTGCAACAAGTGGTGGGAGACACAGATCCAGAGAACTGTGAGAGAATAGTGGCGGATACCCAATCAGCCATTGTCAACGGACCTGAGGAGACAAGAGGAGATAACGAAATGGATAAAGAGGTAGAGGGCATTGAAATTATTCAAAGAGGTGTGGAGATTACCAAGAAGGAGGAGCTTTCTGCAGAGGAGGGAAGCTGTACAGAGGTAGAACAGTCACATAAAGCACCTGAGATTGTAGAAGAGGCGGCGTGTAAGGAACAGCCAAGACAAGTCAACGAAGAAGTGCCAATACCCATAGAAGAGGGGGCATGTAAGGAGAAGGAACAGCCAAGACAAGTCAACGAAGAAGTGCTAATACCTATAGAAGAGGGAGCATGTAAGGAGAAGGAACAGCCAAGACAAGTCAACGAAGTAGTGACAATACCCATAGAAGTGGGGGCATGTAAGGAGAAGGAACAGCCAAGACAAGTCAACGAAGAAGTGCCAATACCCATAGAAGAGGGGGCATGTAAGGAGAAGGAACAGCCAAGACAAGTCAACGAAGAAGTGCCAATACCTATAGAAGAGGGGGCATGTAAGGAGAAGGAACAGCCAAGACAAATCAACGAAGAAGTGCTAATACCTATAGAAGAGGGGGCATGTAAGAAGAAGGAACAGCCAAGACAAGTCAACGAGGAAATGCCAATACCTATAGAAGAGGGGGCATGTAAGGAGAAGGAACAGCCAAGACAAGTCAACGAAGAAGTGCCAATACCCATAGAAGAGGGGGCATGTAAGGAGAAGGAACAGCCAAGACAAGTCAACGAAGAAGTGCTAATACCTATAGAAGAGGGGGCATGTAAGAAGAAGGAACAGCCAAGACAAGTCAACGAGGAAATGCCAATACCTATAGAAGAGGGGGCATGTAAGGAGAAGGAACAGCCAAGACAAGTCAACGAAGAAGTGCTAATACCTATAGAAGAGGGGGCATGTAAGGAGAAGGAACAGCCAAGACAAGTCAACGAAGAACTGCCAAAACCCATAGAAGAGGGGGCATGTAAGGAGAAGGAACAGCCAAGACAAGTCAAAGAGGAAATGCCAATACCTATAGAAGAGGGGGCATGTAAGGAGAAGGAACAGCCAAGACAAGTCAAGGAAGAAGTGCCAACAACAATAGGAGAGAGGGCGTGTAAGAAGCAAGAACAGCTCAGCAATGACAAATGGGAGGTTGCAGAGGGAGGTGATGCTGCAAAGGAACAGCCAAAACAAGTCAAGGAAGAAGTGCCAACAACAATAGAAGAGGGGGCGTGTAAGAAGCAGGAACAGCAAAGACAAGTCAAGGAAAAAGTGCCAATACCTATAGAAGGGGGGGCATGTAAGGAGAAGGAACAGCTTGGCAATGGCAAACAGGAGATCGTAGAGGGAGGTGACGCTGCAAAGGAACAGCGAAGACAAGTCAAGGAAGAAGTGCCAACAACAATAGAAGAGGGGGCGGGGAAGTGGCTAGAAGAGCTTAAGGCTGTCATTGAAGATGAGCCAAGAAGGAAAGCCCAGGGGGGGCGAAAAGTGACCATACCTGCCTGGTTGAAGTCCAACGAGAGCTCAGATGCCCCTTTCCAAGAGCCACCGAAGCCCCTCGGCAGTCAGATCAGAACCATGAGCGTGGGCAGCAAAGGGGAGGTGAATATCAAGGCCAAAGGTCAAGAGGTCACCATGGCGAATGGGTTCCTTGGGATCCCACCTGCCGTTGTTCAACAAGAAGAGGTAAAAACATTGGGAAAACTGACGAGGATGGCGACTCCAGCTCAGCGGGATGGCGATCCTCTTGACCAGCAGATCTCCCTCTATGTGAAGGTATTCTTATAGACAGATAATGGTCAAGATATCCATTTGCATATTGGAGTTTTAGAAATGGAAATGAGTCACTTGGGTTTTCTTTGTCCTCAAAACTTACTATGATATCCACAGGTTCTGCTCAAAAACGTTGTAGTGTTGACCATATTATGATCTGCTGTAGTCAATATGCAATCTGGAAACTATCAGAAGCTTTAATACGAAGCTACCAAATATGTTAGTGTTTTTGGGAAGTATGATTATTGTAGTACATTTTACAGGGAAGGCAGAATTTTACATGCATATAACCTAGATAACCTCAGATTTTTGTAAAATTGCTCAGAGAAATAAAGTCCCTTTAAAGTCTTACTTTAAAAATGACAATGATAAGGGTGTCTTGTTAGCCATGCTAGCACACAGTTTCCTACAATGACAGCATGTCCTTCTGTTCAGCAGATGGTGTTACTATCGCCAGCACTAATTGCATTAGTGTCTTTGCTTTACTGGTCAGTTGGTCTGCTGTCATGCCGCTTCTAGAAAACCAGAATGTAATTCCCAGTTCTAGGCAATGTTACTTCCACAAATTGATTAAGCAGGTACACCAACTTCACCAATAGTATTACTGCTGGGTGAGCTGCTAAAACCAGCATGAAAGTGTCTAAAACATACCTTAATACACTGGCAAGGTGGTTTTAAAAACAGTAAACTGGTTCATATGACATAAACATCCATACAATAAAACGGAAGTAATATAATGTTTAAGAAGTAAGTCTTATTTAGGGGGAGCCTGACCTTTCCAACCATAATTCCAACCCTGTTTGTGATTTATAAATGGTTGTTGCTGGTGATATAATGCACTTAGTTAATTGAGTTATTCTCAGCAGGGTGTTGAGCTGATTGATCGGTGAGCTAAAAATGAATCGTACATGATTCTAGAACATTTAAGTGCCATATAAAGTATCATATCACAAACATTAGGAAAGAGCTGGCTATAGGTATCACTTTTGCAATAATCTTACTAATCTGCTGTGTTGACTATAGTGCAACATAGATGTGTATTGACTACAGCAACAGTATGTATTTATTTATTTATAATTATTTATACAGTGAGTGTTTTCTAACCAGTCAAAACTACTCATTTCTATTCTATTCTATTCTATTCTATTCTATTCTATTCTATTCTATTCTATTTTTCTATGGACTTGTCTGAAACATTCGGAACAAAGTGTATAGCCAGTTTTGTAACCAAGCAAAACTACAGTAATAGTTTTTATTTTATTTTATTTTATTTTTTTCTATTCATGGAATTGCCTGAAACATTCGGAACAAAGCGCACAGCCAAATTCTTGTTATATGCAGGAGGCTGAGCAGCGGGACGTTAAGCCTGGTAAAAATGTCCTTAAATCCCACCCGTATGTTTCTGAAGAGCGAACAGTAACAAAGACGCCCTTTGTGCGGGTTGCAGTGGAACACAGTAAAAGTGCAACTCCCACAGCCTTTCTGTGCATTTCACATCACAAAAGTATCATTTTGTGTCTCATCATCAGTTTTTGTATGTTGTCATAGTTTTGCTTTGGTAAACAGGATCTAAGTGATGATATGCTCAGATTGTATGGCTGTTACTGTGCTTGTTATTCAATGATAAACAGCTGATTCTTATTTTTTATTGGTTCGAGTGATGTGCTGCTCTTATATTGAACAGTGAAATATGTGTTTGTATTTGAATACCTGTTGCCTCTATGAGAAGCTGCCATGTAGTGGGTTAATCTCAGCATTCCTCTACACACTAATCTGATTTAGATGTTTGTTGGTCTGAGTCGGCTGTGAGAAGGATCTGAGATTCTGAGTGTTTGGGGGGTGGAGTGGCTCCGTCCAGTCATAATATGATTCCTGCATGTGCAAAACTCACCGTCATGATGCTAGTGTTGCATGTGGTTGCCGGGATGTTACTAATGGTTGCTAGGGTGTTCTGATTTAGGACTATATGGTATTTTGGATAATTCCCAGGGTTCTCTGGTTTTTAGCATTTGGCTATGCGATTGTTAGGGTGTTCTGAGTGGTGTTTAGCATTAGCACGTTGCTATGGGGTTGCTAGGGTATTCTGGATTGTTGCTATGGTGTTCTGTATAATTGCTAGGGTTCTCTGATTGTTTTTTAACATTTTGCTATGCGATTGCTATAGTGTTCTAAATGGTTCTGAGAATGTTGAGTGATGTTTGGCACGTCGCTATGGTGTTGCTAGGGTATTCGGGATTGTTGCTAGGGTGTTCTGGATAATTGCTAGGGTTCTCTGGTTTTTAGCGTTTTGCTATGCGATTGTTAGGGTAGTCTGAATGTTTATTAGAATGTTGCTAGGGTGTTCTGAGTGGTGTTTAGCATTAGCACATTGCTATGGGGTTGCTAGGGTATTCTGGATTGTTACTAGGGTGTTTTGAATAATTGCATGGGTTCTCTGATCGGGTTTTTGCATTTTGGTTTGTGGTTGCTAGGGTGTTCTGAATGGTTATTAGAATGTTGCTAGGGCGTTCTGAGTGGTGTTTAGCAATAGAACGTTGCCATGGGGTTGCTAGGGTTTTCTGGATTGTGTTTAGGATGTTGCTATGGGGTTGCTAGGGTATTCTGGATTGTTTTCCATGGTGCTCTGGATAATTTGCTATGCGGTTGCTAGGGTGTTATTAATGGTTGCTAGGATGTTTTTTTAGCATGTTGCTATGCGGTTGCTAATAGTGTTTAACGTGTTAACTGCTATGCAGTTCCTTTGGTATTCTAGATGGTGGCTAGGCAGCTGTTTATTGGCCCACAAACTGTGACATTAATCTGGTGTGCTTCTATTCAAATGTATCTTATGAAGTCAGGTTTTCGAGTGTCTAGAAGCTGCACTGCCCTCTACTGGCGTAATGTGGGTCTTTTTTACCCTCATGTCCTCATCCATCCCTCATCACCACCTTATCTTCAGGTGGCCCGACCTCACATAATCATTCCACAACCTCCAGACTCATAAATACAGTGACACAGTAGTAACTCTACTCGATCCCGAAGGCCCTTAAGAACACATACAACATGGAAATGTATATAGTTTATTTCTAGATCATTGTGCAATGTTAGATTGTACACTGGAAATCATAATAGCGATCCCAACTCTGCAAAAGTCTTTCATAACGCACGTCTCATGAACGGCGTCTCTATCGCTGATAACAATGAACAAACGTCTCAGTGTCTCAGTGTCCTGCGTGTTTGACTGTGTTCTCCAGCCCAAACACCCACAGAACACCAAATGTAATCAGTCATTCTGGAAAGACTTTTCCATGCATTCAGAGAATTTGCTTTGAGATAGCATTCTGCATTCAATATTATGAGACATGTGAAAGCATTTCACCATGGCTTGGTTTGATGTAGCAGCTAAAAAATTGGGATTTCCTAGCATTGAGCTGTTTGTCAAGGTAAGACGTTCTCACATTAAACCTTTGAAGAAATAAAACATTTTGTCTTGTAAGATGACACAATATACATCGTTTTTGTGTGGTTGAATTTTATGGTTTATTCAACTGTGGCCTTTTTTGTGTGCTATCAATTGTATTAAAGCATTTTCCCAGGCAAAAAGAAACATTTATTAGGCCAATCACATAATTAACTATTTGTCTGAACTATTTGTCACAAGTGAAATCAGTTATACTTTATTTCAATAGTGCATTTTGGACGTTCTACTAACTATAAGTTACAACTACATGTCAATAATTCTCATTAGTACTAGACTGTTAGGTTAGGGTTCGGGTTAGTAGAATAAGTTGACATGTAGTTGCAAAGTTTCTTATTGTCAGTAGAAAATCTGTTGAGGAGCATCAAAATAATGTGTTAGCAGATATTTAGCAGACGGTCTACTGAAACTCGACTGATAGTTGACAAGTACACTGTAAAAAAAATCAATTTATATAAAAGCTGCACAGTGTTATTCGCACAAACATTAAACACCATCATGGTAACACACATGAAATTTTTAAAAATGCAATAAACATTAATTTAACAACATTAAATGTAACATAAAACCCTGATGTACATAACTGATTAGAAAGGAACTAAGAAGAAACATAGTTATTTCAACAAAAATAAATCAAATGTGAAGTGTCAAGCAGGGCATTGTGGGAATGTCAATTTACTGTAAATTATACAATGAGTTGTTCTTTTTTACTTTCAAAAACTGTAAAATTTTACAGTTTGAAATTTGTTTTTGAAATTTTACTTTCAAAAACTGATACAATTTTACACGATGACTACAGCGCTGGGATTTTGAAGCAGATTTTGTAGCCTACATTACAGAGATGGATGCCGCCGTCAAACATCACTCGTTCCAATCAGCGATCGCGTCTGTTTTAAGCGATTTGAACGTTTCCTTTTAGTTAAAAATCGAGCAAAGAACAACACTCGGAGATGTTTCTCCGCCGCTCTGCATACGTCATCTCCTTCATCGCTCTGATTGGGTTTAGGTCTATCCGCGACGTCCGTTGGTGACGCCCCTCTGGAAATGATTTGTCTATGACGCTTTGCCAGACCATAACTCAGTTACAACTGAGAATGGTCTGGTTTTAACCAGGCTATTAAAGGGATAGTTCACCCAAAAATGAAAATCTTGTCATTAGTTATTTACCCTTATGTTGTTCCAGTTTCTTTGTTCTGTTAAAGACAGAAGATATTTTGAAGAATGAATTGACGGGCCTCACAGTAGAAAAAAAATACCATTAAAGTCAATGGAGTTTGGAACAACATGAGGGTGAGTAAATGATGACAAAACATTTTTGGGTCAACTATCCTTTTTTTTTTTTTCATTTAATTTTTGCAGAGGTGTAAAGTCCAGGTCCAGAAAGTAAAAGTCAAGGTCAAGGTCAAAGTTTATTTCTATAGCACCTTTTAACAACACGGATGTTGACCAAAGTGCTTCACAGATACATCAAAAGTACACATAGAGCATATATATAAAAAAAAATTCAGACTCTACGTAGACCTAAAAAATAAATAAATAGAATCTTTATAATAAGTACAAATTTTAAACCTAGCGACCTCACAAGAACTGCAACCCCGTAGTATTTCATAGATGCAAAAAGCATTTTTAAGCGAATTTTTCAATTTCAATTTCGAATTTTCATGCAATTTCAAGTCCTCCTCAGTATTTTGTTCCAATCACCTGCTAATTAGCACAGTTCTTCAGGAGAGAGAACTCTGAAACCGCATTAGGCTGGGTCAGGAATTATTTAAAGAATAGGTGTCAAAGAGTGCAAATTAAGGGGTCTCTTTCTGATAAGCTCACCATTGAATCTGGTGTGCCACAGGGGTCCATTTTGGGTCCCCTGTTGTTTACATTATATATTAACAACCTTGGTGCTAATCTATCAGATACAAGTATCCATTTATATGCCGATGATACCATTTTATATTGTTTTGCATCTTCTATTGAAAATTGCATTTTAAAGTTGCAGGAAGCATTTGAATTAGTTCAGCGTAACCTATCTTCTTTAAAATTAGTCCTAAATGATAAGAAAACAAAATACATGGTCTTTTCTAGGAAACATAAGACTGATTCTTCTCCACCACCTATTTACACTTTGCAGGGTAACTCTATAGAATTAGTCTCCTCTTATAAATACCTAGGGTTTGTGTTGGAAGAGGACTTATCATTTAAGTTACATGTTAAACAACTGTTGTCTAAGTTAAGGTTACAGCTGGGCTTTTATTTTCGGAACAGTGCATGTTTCTCACAGTCAGCCAAGAGAAAGTTGGTGGAATCTACCTTTTTACCTATCTTAGATTATGGAGATGTTTTTTACAGAAATACCACTAAAGCTCTCTTACAATCAGTAGATTCTGTTTATCACTCTGCTCTAAGATTTATAACTTGCACAAAATATCACACTCACCACTGTGCACTGTATGAAATGGTAGGTTGGCCTTCACTTCACATAAGAAGGTACAAACACTGGCTCATACTTGTATACAAGGCATTAGTCGGCCAGCTTCCTCAATATATCAATAGCTTATTAACTTTTAATAGTCAAGGGTATAATCTACGTTCAAGTAGATATATTCTGTTAAATGTTCCTTTAATGAAGACAGAGTTTGGAAAAACTGCTTTTATTTATAGTGCATCAGCTGCTTGGAATGAGATCCAAAGTTCATTGAAACTTGATGAACTTATTTCAGTATATGTGTTCAAGTTACATTTAAACAAATTATTCAAATCTGTCTGCACTTGCTCTTAACGTTTAATCTTGTTTTATTTTTATATATGTGTGTGTTGTGAAATCTGTTTTATGTAGTTATGTATATTGTGTGCTGCTATTTTGGCCAGGGCACTTGTAAATGAGATATTTATCTCAATGTGTTTATTTCCCTGGTTAAATAAAGGTTTAATAAAAAAAATAAAAAAAATTATTATAATAATTGTTTGGCATCCTAAAACACCAGTGATAATGTAATGCAGACTGAGACTCTATATCATAACTAAAAAGATGTTTGAGCCCTCTTTAATGTCCAGGTACAAGTCAATGCTTTTTCTTTGTTCAATGTGCACAGTTCATGGGTTAAAGCCGGTTGAAGCTCTTAATTGTGAGCTCTCAAAGTGCACCAGATTGATGCATTTAACCTTAAAATGTACAAAATTTTCTTGCGGGGGAGCATGCCCCCGAACCCCCCTAGAGGGATAGAGTTCCACCCAACATAGTTTTATAAAATACTATGGGAAACACAGATCATTTATGAAGTAATATGTACAACAAAGTTCCTTTTAAGTCAGTAATACAGTTAATGCCAAATTAAAATGTCCTTGGACAAACTACATTTGGCCTGCCTAAGGGGGGGGGGGCCTACCAGACATTGTGCCCAGGGCCCTCTGAATTCTTAATCCGGCCCTGGATAAACATATGGCAGGACTTTTACTTTCTGACCCCTGGACTTTACACCTCTGAATATTTGTGGAATCATTTGGATCATGTAAATATGAAGGCAGTGAGGGGGGCGCAGTATATAGCGTCGTATATTTTTCTTTTTTTGAGTAATTAACCACTTAAACTTAAAGGGATACTCCACTTTTTTTGGAAATAAGCTCATTTTACAACTCCCCCAGAGTTAAACTGTTGAGTTTTACCGTTTTTGGATGTAAAGTTGCGATTTTCTAGGCTGATATGGCTAGGAACTATACTCTCATTCCTGCGTAATAATCAAGAAACTTTACTGCCGTACCACGAGAGCAGCAGGCGTAATGATATGAAGCAGCGCCTGAAAGAAAATAGGCTACCTTCCGTCAACACAACGGAACTATTTTCAGGCGCTGCGTCATATCATGACGCCCGTTTCACACATACACCGCGTATGCGGTGTTGCGGTGCGTATGCGGTACAGGAGCAGCACGCGCTATAGTGCTTTCACATATGCTGCGTGCGTTTGCAGTGCGCAACTTATCCGCGGCTGTACCACAAACACATTTACTCACTATTTTTATTTCAAATCATCAATCAAATCAAGTTTCAGCAACTTTTATTTTAAAAAGTTGTCACCAGTGCGATTATCTTTGTACACACATCTACACTCTTTAGCCTATTCACGTTTAAACACAATTTAAACAACGTATTATTTAATGCATTACTTTTATATGGATTATATATTAAGTTGCTCAAGCAAGTGGTAACATATTTAACCATGTAGGCTAATAGCCTATTAAAATCACAAACATTTTAAATTAAAACTTAAAATTTACAAAAACAGCAGACTCTTTTTCTTTTGCTTAATTTAAATCTTTATACAATAAATCTTGCATGTCACAAATAACTTGTTTTTCCACCTCAACGTATGAGACGATCGTCATTCATTATGTGCCTGAAGTAAATTGTAGCTTTCCTTGATTTACCCCGTCTTAAAGTAAAAAGATGACTGTGAAAAATAGTAGTAGGCTTTAATGCATTATGGTGAGATTACTACATGTTATTAAGTTAAATGCATTTATGGTGAAATTACTACATATTCAGATCAGTCTGTGTTCATTTTGACCACGAACCGTGCGCTGTCACTTTAATTCAGCGTTTGCAGCACAGCAGAAATAGACTCGGTGCGTAAACGATCTCTGCACTGCTGTATACGCACCGCAACTGGAACGGATCGACGGACCGCATCCGCGTGCAGTGTGAAAGCTCTGCCTGTTAACATGGGTACGGAAAAAAATACGCACCGCATACGCACTGCAAACGGAGTATGTGTGAAACGGGCGTTACGCCTGCTGCACTCATGGTACGGCAGTAAAGTTTCTTGATTATTACGCAGGAATGAGAGTATAGTTCCTAGCCATATTAGCCTAGAAAATCGCAACTTTACATTTTCCGTCGGTCTTAGTGCACGATGTAACTACAGAAGAGTCGAGTTTTAAATAGGAAAAATATCGAAACTCTTTGGTCATTTTTTTTGGAGAAATGCTAATGGTCTTGTCCACTTCAGTGATGTATGCTAAGCTATGCTAAAAGTGGTACCGCCAGAACCGGAGATCGTTTGAATGGATTCAAAAACAGTAAAACTCAACAGTTTAACTCTGGGGGAGTTGTAAAATGAGCCTATTTCCAAAAAAGTGGAGTATCCCTTTAAATTTGCCTATTTAAATAATTTTGGGCAGTTCTTTATGTGTCTGTTTAATTCTGTATTATTCTGAAGTTCGTACATCTTCCAGCGACAGACATATTTCACAAAATAACCAGTACATTTCTGGAATTCACATTATCTACATAAATCTGCAACATATTAAACATTGTTCGTAATCTAACGTATTACCTTGAAATCATAATTTTGCCATTGTGTGCAATGTCTTCCCGTGTCAGGAAACTTTTGCAGTGCGCAGAGAAAATGAAATATAAACGTCAGACCCAAGCCCATTGCTTCTCCACACTTGTGATGCAGTTAAAGGACTGACGGCATGTTGTGTGTGTGTGTGTGTGTGTGTGTGTGTGTCCCAGGCCGGCAGTGATGGAGAGAGTCTCGGGAACTGTCCCTTCTCTCAGAGACTCTTCATGATCCTCTGGCTGAAAGGAGTCATCTTCAACGTCACCACCGTGGACCTCAAGAGGTGAAGCGCAACATTCACAGACCCGCCGCACAAACACTGATTTCACATTAGGACCATTATGATTCCCAAAAGGATAAAATGCGCCTGGAGAATAGCAAAATGATTTTCTTTCAGGATTTTAGGCTTATTTTCTGATTTAACTAAATCACATACACTCTAAAAAATGCTGGGTTGTTTCAACCCAAATTTGGGTCAAATATGGACAAACCCAAATGTAAGGTTAAAAATGTAATTAAAAAAATGACAGTTGAAAGTGAAAGTTGAAGTTGGGTTAAAATTTTAAATTACATTTTTAACCCAATATTTGGGTTTGTTCATATTTGACCCAAATTTGGGTTAAAACAACCCAGCGTTGTTTAGAGTGTAGAAATTGTCTATACATTGGTATCTTATTTAATGCCATTAAGATCCGTTTACTTCCAAATAATGATTGTAAGTTCAATTGGAATCTAAGATTTTTGATAAAGGGAGTGTTATTTTAGTGTTATATGTATATATACACACAATTATTGTATTTATTCACATTTTTAATTTGCTTTTATTTTTACATTTTCAGTTTTAATATTCATTTTAGAAACACATTTGGGTCCGTTTGACCAGAAAGAGGTACATCAAAATAAAAAAATTTATATAAACATAAAATCCAAGGTTTTTAGTATGAAAATGAAACTTTGGATATATGTAATTTTTCCCTAAAAATTTTTTTAAATAAAAAAATTCAGATAAGTGAACTGTGGCTTTACACATGAAATTGTGTAGTTTTTTGGTTTGTTTTGTATTTTACATCTATAAGTTGTATTATTTAACAGAAGTAACTTGAGAAAAATCTATTTAATTCTCATACATGTCCATATAATAATATATTAAAAATAAAAATTCTCATAAATATTGATAAAAAAAAAATCTTGCATTGGCTTTTACTGTATAGTTCATTTAACATTTCAAAGAATTTCTCATTTTTTTTATTTTAAAGAAGTAGTAGCATGGTAAAAACATGGTAACATTCAAAACTTTGAAACTTTTGCACATTCACTCATCAATGGGATGCTCCTGAACAGATACAATGTGGTTTTAGTTGGAAAATATTAAGTTATGACTGTTTTATAAGCTTCTTATAAGTTCTACCAAGATCAAACAAACCCAAAATTGCAACAGGTGTATAGAGTTTTTTAATGCATTACAAGGGTTAAATTTTAGTAATTTTGTTATGTGCTTTTGTACGGAAGCGTATTGCATTCGCTTGAGGAAAAAAATCTACTCTGTTTTTCTGAATTAACGAGTTAATTATCTCCGAATTACGAGATAACTTTTTTTCCATGAAAAATTTTTGCTCTGTTTTTCTGAATTAACGAGTTAATTATATCAGAATTACGAGATAATTTTTTATGGAAAAAAGTTTTTGCTCTGTTTTTCTGAATTAATGACTTAATTATCTCAAAATTATGAGTAACTCATTAATAAAGTGAAAAAAATGTTTTTCAAGAAAAATGTATCTCATAATTCTGAGATAATTAACTCGTTAATTCAGAAAAACAGAGCAAAAACTTTTTTTCCATGAAAAATTATCTCGTAATTCTGAAAAAAAGTAGATTTTTTTTCTCAAGTGAATGCAATACGCTTCCGTACTTTTGTCATTTTTATTATTATTATTATTATTTTTTACATTTCCATTTAGCTTTAATTTATTTTCATTTGGTTTTAGTTTTAGTGATTTTAGTACCTCAACTTTCTAATTACAAGTTAGGGTTAGGCCCTAATTTTATTTTATTTTATATTTCAATTAACAGTTTTTAATAGTTTTAGATTTACTTAAGAATAACCTTGCTGACGAAGGGTGTGTTTGTCGGTCCGCGTCTCACAGAAAGCCTGCAGATTTACAGGATCTCGCTCCGGGAACCAACCCTCCATTCATGACCTTCAACGGAGAGGTTCTGGTGGACGTCAACAAGATCGAGGAGTTTCTCGAGGAACGATTGGTCCCACCACGGTACTTTCTATATCGGTTCACTTCCCATTTCTTTCTTACTTGCCTCAGATACTTAAAGGGTTAGTTCACCCAAAAATTAAAATGATGTCATTAATGACTCTCCCACATGTCGAACCAAGCCCGTAAGACCTCCGTTCATCTTCGGGACACAGTTTAAGATATTTTAGATTTAGTCCGAGAGCTTTCTGTCCCTCCATTGTAAATGTATGTACGGTATACTGTCCTTGTCCAGAAAGGAAATAAAGACATCATCAAAGTAGTCCATGTGACATCAGTGGGTTAGTTAGAGTGTGTTGAAGCATCAAATACATTTTGGTCCAAAAATAACACAAACTACGACTTTATTCAGCATTGTATTGTATTCTGGTTCTGTTGTGGATCCGCGTTCAGTGCCGCCGCTGACGTAAGACGCTGCTGACGTGTGTCTGGTGTGTGTGTGTGTGTGTGTGTGTGTGTGTGTGTGTGTGTGTGTGTGTGTGTGTGTGTATTCTGGTTCTGTTGTGGATCCGCGTTCAGTGCCGCCGCTGACGTAAGACGCTGCTGACGTGTGTCTGGTGTGTGTGTGTGTGTGTGTGTGTGTGTGTGTGTGTGTATTCTGGTTCTGTTGTGGATCCGCGTTCAGTGCCGCTGCTGACGTGTGTCTGGTGTGTGTGGTGTGTGTGTGTGTGTGTGTATTCTGGTTCTGTTGTGGATCCGCGTTCAGTGCCGCTGCTGACGTAAGACGCTGCTGACGTGTGTGTGTGTGTGTGTGTGTATTCTGGTTCTGTTGTGGATCCGCGTTCAGTGCCGCTGCTGACGTAAGACGCTGCTGACGTGTGTGTGTGTGTGTGTGTGTGTGTATTCTGGTTCTGTTGTGGATCCGCGTTCAGTGCCGCCGCTGACGTAAGACGCTGCTGACGTGTGTGTGTGTGTGTGTGTGTGTGTATTCTGGTTCTGTTGTGGATCCGCGTTCAGTGCCGCTGCTGACGTGTGTCTGGTGTGTGTCTAAGGATTGGAAACATGTCTAAGGATTTCCACACAGAGGAAGACTTGCATTTTTTGCCCAGCCATATTTATTTGAACCCGAATACACACCCACACACACACACACACCAGACACACACACCAGACACACCACACACACGTCAGCAGCGTCTTACGTCAGCAGCGGCACTGAACGCGGATCCACAACAGAACCAGAATACACACACACACACACACACACACGTCAGCAGCGTCTTACGTCAGCGGCGGCACTGAACGCGGATCCACAACAGAACCAGAATACAATACAATGCTGAATAAAGTCCTAGTTTTTGTTATTTTTGGACCAAAATGTATTTGATGCTTCAACACACTCTAACTAACCCACTGATGTCACATGGACTACTTTGATGATGTCTTTATTCCCTTTCTGGACAAGGACAGTATACCGAACATACATTTACAATGGAGGGACAGAAAGCTCTCAGACTAAATCTAAAATATCTTAAACTGTGTCCCGAAGATGAGCGGAGGTCTTGGAGGCTTGGGATGACATGAGGGAGAGTCATTAATGACATAATTTAAAACGAATCTTTTTTTCTTTTTTTTTTTTAGATACCCAAAGTTGGCAGCAAAGCATCCAGAATCCAACACAGCGGGAATAGATGTATTTGCCAAGTTTTCTGCCTACATCAAGAACCCTCGTAAAGAAGCTAATGAGGGTGAGTTTAATGGCTTTCAGTAAACAGATAGTCCACCTTTTCCTCTGTAATTGTGTTTTATTTGGGGTTTTATGTGTTCAGGTCTGGAGAAAGCTCTTCTGAAGTCCCTGAAGAGGTTGGATGAGTATTTGCAGACGCCGCTGCCCGAGGAGATTGATGCCAACAGTGTAGATGATCATGAAGCGTCCACACGAGGATTCCTGGACGGGCCAGACCTCACGCTGGCCGACTGTAACCTGCTCCCCAAACTACACATCATGAAGGTGCTTCTTTCCTTTTCTTCACACTCCTCCCTTTTTGCATCTACAAAATGTTCCCTTTCCTGAAAACCCAATATTTGTTCTTCTCTTAATCTTAATTTTAATCGCTGTGAAAAGTTGAATTGAAAAATGTAGGCTGCATAAATGCATCCATTTGAAATATTTAGAGTGCTTTATTACAGTGTTTTACAGTCGCCAGGACACATTTCTCAATAATCAGGTCACTTTTTCAAAACTCTTCACACAGTGAGCACAACAGAAGTATAAGTGGGCTAAACTGTGGATCATTTATCATTGCTTTGGCACAAAATCCATTCAATGAACATCTTTCAAATTACATTAATTATTTTCTAACTTTGACACAACAACCGCCAAAACTCTGTGTACAAATTTCCACATGCTTACATACTGATTTCAAAACGGTTAAACTTAAGTTCAAAACAATAACATAATACAAAACTGAATAAGACAGCATTTTGCCACATTTCTACAGTAATATTGTAATGAAATATATTTCGAATTTAAAAATTAAATGGTATAAAAACAATTGGATAATTGGACCAACCACAGCTGATTTTGTATCTGAATCAGTGGATGGTGTGTATACAAAATTTAGTACTTTGGAATTACTCCAAAAACATAAAATATATAAAGTATTGAAGCATACTGCATCATGTCTAATTCATTCTAGCAACATATTGCAGGGCAGAGGTAGAAGAAAGAAAGCATTTACAGAGGAAAACACTGTATAGAGTTATGTTGTTTTGTGGGTGAAGGAGTGTGTGTGTTGGCTGTCAACCTTTGCTAGTGTTATGGAAGTTGATTTGAGACATGTACGAAGTGATTTTGTAGTTTTAATGCATTTTGAATGTGAAATGAACTGCTGTGCCGAGCTGAACGCTGGTTAGGAGAACTGTGTGAAGAGTTTTGTATTGAGAATTGTGTCCTAGCGACTGTAAAAAACTGTAATGACAGCCGAATAATATACTATATACTGTATATAGTTGCAAAGCTACTGTACTGCTGATAGATAAACAGACTTGCTGCTGTGATTATGTAAGATCTGCTGCATGAATAGACATATACAGTAAATCCTATAGCAGATCTAGGCAGGAGGAGCTGGGGAGGTAGAGGGGTTCAGGACTAGATTACAGAAAACAATGAACCAGACTATTTAATTGTTGAGCAAGAAATCTCATTGGCTGCAGGATCAGCAGAGACCAATCATCTTGTGCCATGTGGTAATAATGTGATTGCTTGCAGATTGCATGTAAAGGATTGATCTGTCTGCGCCCTCTAGAGTTTTATGGCTAAACTAAGACACACACACATACAGTCAAACCAAAATGTATTCAGACACCTTCAACATTTCTCACATTATCACATTTTATTCACTATAATGGTAATAAAACATGAGCAGAACTCAGAGTTCTCAGATCAGTGGATATTTGACTGGTTTTGTCCGTCCTTCTGTTAGACTCTCACACATGAATTATGTTGAATATCTGTCAGCTGTTAAATTTAACTCCACAATTAGATAATACCAGTTTAGCTCAACCAGTGACCAAGCAATGCTTCATGTTGTTCAGTGTGTGTGTAAAAAGAGCATCAGCAATTACAGAAAACACACTTCAGCAAAACATGATCAGCTCAAAGTGTCCGAATCATTTCTGCTCCCAATCTTTACTGGTAGTCACTGTATGAAGAATTATTGGGTGTAATATGTCACAGTTTACTTTATTTTGCTCTCCTCACTTGAACTATAGTGTCCTGCACACACTAGTAAAAAATAAAAAAAATAAAAAAATAAATCTAAAGTATAAATATTTTTTGGTTTGATTGTATATATATATATAACTCGTAACTTCTGGACCACACTGCAATTATATTCTTTTTATTCAGTAATTTAAAATGCATATGCTGGATTTCATATGACCAACCAGTTTAAACACCTGCATACTCTTGTTTGTAGATTGTTGCTAGGAAATACAGAGGTTTTGAGATTCCTGCTGAGATGACCGGAGTTTTGCGATATTTGAATAACGCCTACCAGAGAGAAGAATTCATGAACACCTGCCCTGCTGACCGCGAGATCGAGTTCGCTTACCTGGACGTCGCCAAGAAGATCAAATAGTTCAGGATGACCAGACAAGTAGTGCTAACTCATGGTTATCTTGTGAGAAACGTGTGTGTGTGTGTGTGTGTGTGTGCGTGTCTGTGCGTGTCTGTGCGTGATTGTGTGTGTGTGTGTGTGTGTGTGTGTGTGTGTGTGTGTGTGTGTGTGTGTGTGTGTGTGCATGAGAGAGAGTGTGTGTGTGTGTGTGTGTGTGTGTGTGAATGCACTCACTGGTGGAGCTGCATTAATATGTGGTGTATTGAAAAGGCATCAGTTCGGTAGAAAGGCATCAGTTCTCCTTAAATCATTGGCAGGACCAAAAAAATAGTATAATACCAGACACAGAGATAAAATATTCTGTCTGTTAGTACACTTAACATAACTTCACATGTATATTATCTGTGTCTAAAAAATGCTGGGTTGTTTTAACCCAATTTTGGGTCAAATATGGACAAACCCAAACGTTGGGTTAAACATGTCATTTACAAATGTAACCCAACGGCTGTGTTTGTCCACATTTGACCCAAATTTGGGTTGAAACAACCAAACATTTGTTAGAGCATTTTTTCCCCCAGATGAAATAGATAGACTAGATATGGTATATTCATAATGTTCACCATGGCCTTGACCAAAATTGATCTCATAATCATTTTTAAGCTATGGATCTCAATATTTCTGGATCTCTATTTTATTTTATTTTTGTTGTTTATTTCTGAATTTTTACTTGTGATTCTTCTGGTCAGGCCAGTATATTTACATATACATTTTATATTTACATTTTATATCTAAAATAATAATAATAATATGGAAAATCATATCAATATCACCATGTAAGGTTAATGAAACTCTCCTTTTATATCGTCACACGAGGCTTTATTCCACAGGTTGATGGATTTTTTTAAATGAATTACATTTCTAGGTAATTGTTTTGTCTTTCCACGCTTATGTCGAAACTGCTTCATTTATATTTGATTGTTTTTATCAATGCATAGAATTTGTTAAAACATTCTATTTATGCAACTTTGTAACCTATTGCATGAAGGCCTTATGACGCCTCATATTAAACGAATCAGAATTCATCAAGTCTTCATGGTTTTTAATTTTCGAAGGTTTTGCCATCCAAGATGTTCATGTCTTTCTTTCTTCAGTGGAAAAGAAATTACGTTTTTTTTTAGGAAAACATTTCAGGATTTTTCTCCACACAATGGACTTTAATTACAACCAACGTTTTGAAGTCCAAATCAATGCAGTTTCAAAGGGCTATGAAGTGTTTAAAACGGCTCTACACGATCCCAGCTGAGGAACAGGGTCTTATCTAGCGAAACGATCGGTCATTTTCCAAAAAAAAACAAAAAAACATTTATATACTTTTTAACCACAATTGTTCGTCTTGTTGTGCTGGTCTGCGACGCGCCGGGAATTACGTCATCACGCTGGGTCACGCGTCACGTCACTATCTAAGTTATTTGTCTGTGTAATCCGGTTAAAAAAGGCAGCGAAGAACGAAAAATTCCTCCTCATTTTCTCCCGTTTTCTCCTCCAACTTCAAAATCGTCTGACATCTCTGTTTTAACTTATAATTTTTTTTTAAAAAATCGTGACATTTCCAACGTGATGACGTAATCCCTGGCGCGTCGCAGACCAGCACAAGACGAACAATCGTGGTTAAAAAGTATATGAATGTTTTTTTTTTTTTTTTTTGAAAATGACCGATCGTTTCGCTAGATAAGACCCTGTTCCTCAGCTCGGATCGTGCAGAGCCGTTTGAAGCTCTTCAAAGCCCTTTGAAACTGCATTGATTTGGACTTCAACATTGTGTGGAGAAAAATCCTGAAATGTTTTCCTCAAAAAACTTAATTTCTTTTCCACTGAAGAAAGACAGACATGAACATCTAGGATGGCATTGGGGTGAGTAAATTATCAGGAAATTTTCATTTTGAGGTGAACTAATCCTTTAATAAGGCATAATATCAACAGCTCGTCTTCCTAGTCGACTCACCATAGTGACCTCTAACTTTGAGAACTTGTGCACACACTAACACAGTGAGGCCAATCTCAACAAAGCAGCCATGCACATCACACGTCCACTGTCTTATTTGTCATTTTGCAATGATCACCGCGAGAGATATCTGTAGAAAAATAAAGTTCTCTTTATTATCACAGTATTTTTGCATGCTTTGTCATTTTTATTGGAGCTTGCAACAAACAAAGACCGAAGGTTAACAGGATTTCGTGCACAAAATCAAGGGTACACACGTCACAGGGGTCAGAGGGGTCAGTCATGTTATTGGTGGTCCATTGAGAAGAGTTTACGCATCTATGTTTGAGAACAGGATTTGTTGCTTGGCATTTCAAAGGTTGGCGAAATGAGGGTGAAGCTCAGTTCTGAGAGCAGTACTTCCAGAAGCACACTGTGTTCGGAGAAAGATAAATAGTAGTTAATGTGTGGGTATAACATGACATTTTGTTATCCAAACCGCAGCTGGTCTGCATCATACCTCTTTTGTTGGTTTTCTTAGCCGATGGAAGAGACTTTTTAAAGGCTTTTCCGTTGAGTTTGGGATCCATGTGGTCAGTGCTAGCCTTGGGTGAAATCCCACCGCCGTCTATAGTGGTCGCTGTGGTGGATTTCAGGTTCCCATCTGTCACTACCTGCTGGTTATACAATATTATTTGTATCAGAAAGCTCAAATTGAACTTTACTGTATATGCTTGTGATTGTTTTAGGAAATGAACGTACCATTTTGTTCTTTTTCCCGGTAGCTCGCCCATTGCTATTTCCTTCACAAAAAGAAAGGGGAAAAACCCAAGATTTTATATATAAATAGTTTAAAAGTTTTTTTTTTTTTTTACAAAAGTTATGATTTTTTAAAAGGTTTTTGTGAAAAGTCTCTTCTGCTTACGGAATTGCATTCACTTGAGGAAAAAAAAATCTACTCTGTTTTTATGAATTAACGAGTTAATTATCTCAGAATTACGAGATACATTTTTCTTGAAAAACATTTTTTTCACTCTGTTTTTCTGAATTAATGAGTTACTCATAATTTTGAGATAATTAAGTCATTAATTCAGAAAAACAGAGCAAAAACTTTTTCCCATGAAAAATGATCTCGTAATTCTGAGATAATTAACTCGTTAATTCAGAAAAACAGATTTTTTTCCTCAAGTGAATGCAATACGCTTCCGTATCTGCTAACCAAGACTACATTTATTTGATTTAAAATACAGTAAAATTGTGAATATTGTGAAATATTAAAATAAAATAAAAATGTTTTCCATGTGAATATATAGTAAAATGTAATGTATTCCTGTGATCAAAGCTGAATTTTCAGCATCATTACTCCAGTCTTCAGTGTCAGATGATGCTTTAGAAATCAATTGATGATGATTTGATGCTCAAGAAATATGTTGAAAACAGCTTCATATTTTTGTGGAAACCATGAAACATATTTGTAGAATTCTTTGATCAAGTTCAAAAGAGCAGCATTTATTTCGAATAGAATATTTTCTCACTTAGTTTTGATCAATTTAATGCATCCTTGTTGGATAAAATGATTTTCTTAAAAAATTAAATCAAGCACACCTCTGGTTATGATGGTGATTCGATGGCTCAGTGTGCTGTTCACTAACTTGTGAAGCTCCTCGAGTGCACTCAGCATCTTCACCAGCTCCTCTCGAGCATCCGGATCACCTGTGACGGGATCAGACCGGGATTGTTTGTCTGAACCAGTCACTTCTGACAGTCTGTTCTTCTCCGTTATCCTCTGGGAATCAGGAGAACTGGTTGTGCGGTCTGTCCTCGGCTGGATCTCCTCGTGTCCATCAGAAAGGAGAGTTAGGGTCTTTAACAGATTATTGAGACCTGTGTCTAAGGTTTTGTCTCTGGCATTTGGGCTACTCGTCGCTGTGATTATTTCGTCTAATGCTCTCATTGCTACAGTCTTTCCATCTCCATCGGGAAATGTCGTCATTGGTCGGGTCCTCAGTAGCTTCGCTCGTGCCGGATTCATTTCATCCACGCCGGTTCTCCTTGGATCTGGAGGGAAATAAAAACACTTTAAAGTCGGCATGAAACGGAAGTTGCGATTTTTTACTTCCCTACACTTTTCTTCATACATACCAAGAACATTTTTATAATAAAAAAAACTTTTTCTTCATGGAATGGCTTTATTTTTAAGAGTGTGTTGTGATGTATCGGCCTATCCGAGTGAAACGGCTTCACAAACAAGAACAAATGTGGGCGGGGCTTGATTTGGTCCGTGTGGAATTGATTGGTGGTTTGCTATTGGTGGATCTCATGTGAGTGACAGGTTGCTCCGCCCTCGTCATCAGAAAAGAAAAGAGATGTCGCTGCAAGATGGAGGGGAAGTTAGTCTGATTAAAAAGATTAGTTAAAAATAATAATAATGTTGTGCACGGATTAATAATAAATACAGCAATATTCCATAAAAAATAAGAATTGGGAAATTTGCATAGCTTTATTGCTCAGTGGAATGCAACTTAATTAGTTTCAGCTACAGAAAAGTGTTTGCATGTCTCTAAAATCCCAGTTTATGGTTGGTACCAGAATGATGCATCCTTCTGTTCTCTGAAAGGGTTTGTCTCATAAGTCCTGTTGACACAGAATTGTTCCCATACCCATAGAAACAAGTCAATGGGAAATGCCAATGCACTGAAACACCCTGAGAACCTTGAAAAGAGAGACATTCCCAACATCAAACATCCCTTAAAGGGGCTTTTCTTGGCTTGGACAAACATACACGACATAACCGATGATAAATGCTTCTTGTCCGAGGAACTTTCTAACCCGTCCTTCATCATCATTCTGATCTTAGAGGTGGACGCTGACAAATGGCTTGTTCACACTCATGTACAAACACATGTGGAGCCGCTCGCTGCCGGCATCCATGTTGACCGAAGTCTTGGGGAAGTCGGAGAGTTGCTTGGACGACCGTTTCGGTGACGTCGTAGGTGCGTACTTTGGACATTTTTAAACTCTGAACTTGCCATCACTCCATTAAAAACACTTGGAAGGAGCTCTAGATGAAATAAGAGTGGTATTATCCCCTTAATCCAAGGTGATCGTGACCATTGTTGCGGTGAAAAAGTGCATGTGGTAATAAATTAGCATGACCTATCAGTGCATACACTTTTTGTGCATGTACATTTAATAACTTTGAGATTTATTGTTGCATGCGGTGAAGATCCAGGTCAACGAATTCTGTAAGAACATTAACCTAAATGTGATCCGCCGGGACCTAATGACCTAATTCAAGCTTTACATAACCCTACTCGAAACTCCTGAGTCAATTTTAGCAGGAGGACGAGTCCAGAACCTGAATGTGGAACGACAGATTTAAGGTTTGCACACACTGGAAGTGCGGACAGCACAAGACCAACAGAGGAGCACAAGAGCCGGCGCCACTGGACTGATTCTCTGAGTCTGTACACTTGACGACAGTGAAACTAACATCCACACCACAGACATCAAGAAGAGACACCACAGGTGAACAGGGTGGAAATGTTTACTGTAGATATCACAGACAACTGGTGTGGATTACACGGTTTCTTAAATGTTAAATATGCAATAAAAAATTATCCAATTAAATGTGCACTAATTTGCATAAATGTCCAGAACAGAAACCTGAACATTGGATTTCATTTTCATGTTTGATTTTGTTGACATATTGGTGTTAAATATTTCAATAAATCAGAAAACACTGTCAACAGCAAGACATTTTTTTTTCATGTTTTGGGGAATATGGTCATATACAGGTGAAACTCGAAAAATTTGAATATCGTGCAAAAGTTCATTTATTTCAGTAATTCAACTTAAAAGGTGAAACTAATATATTATATAGACTCAGCATAGTGAGATATTTCCTGCCTTTATTTGTTATAATTGTGAAGATTATGGCTTACAGCTTATGAAAACCCCAAAGTCAAAATTAGAATATTGTGAAAAGGTTTTCATAAGCTGTAAGCCATAATCATCAACATTATAACAAATAAAGGCTTGAAATATCTCACTTTGCATGTAATGAGTCTATATAATATATGAGTTCCACCTTTTAAGTTGAATTACTGAAATAAATGAACTTTTGCACCAAATTAAAATTTTTCGAGTTTCACCTGTATATATATATATCAGGTGAATGAACAAACCAAAGAGGAGATTTAATGGGGGAAAAACTTTAAACATCTATTATTTATTGTAATTGAAATCTACAGATGCAAATAGATAAAGTTCAATAAGATACACACTTAAATGTCTTTAAAAAAAAGACCCAATAGGCCAAAATCTTAAAATTTACCAGTACATAAAAGAAAAGTTTTACCATTTAGCATCTTGCCTTAATGTCTCAGATTTCTCTCCTTGAAAAAAAATAAAATAAATTGGATTGAAAAGAAGAGTCTTTTATCTCTCAGATGCTTATATGAGAAAAATACCCCAGTAATCTCTCTCACATGAGTTTCAGAAGACTTCTAAAAAATGTCACTAACTGTGCGAAGATGCAATCAAAAGCCAAATATTTCTCATACAATTTTCCAGGATCAAATATTCTGAGCCGATATCCACATTGACTGTTGATATGACAACTATTGATTCCTTTGCTCCTGTTTTTATTTCTCCAAACGGGAAATGCATCTGAGACAAACAAAGTTGATTCTTGAAACATTAATAGTTCGTTAAGACTTTTGCATTTGTGAGTGTTTGCAAAGTTGGGACCACAAGGATATAAATCAGCGTTCCTGAAGCTCAAATAATGCCAAGGTCAAGAGAGACTATATTCTGCTGAATGCACGAAATATAGGCATGAATATATTAAGACATAATAAACATTACCCTCATGATTTTCTGAAAAGCTGCTTTAGAATGACATGCTGTGCAAATGAATTTGGCTCGACTTAAAATGCATGAACTAATCAAATGTAAACATTGAATGCATTGGGGGAAAAAGCATGTGAGCTGGTTTTGACCCATCTTACCTCCATCAACAGCATCTGGGTCTCCAGGCATCATCGGAGCAGCGTCCAGGACCGAAGCGACAGTCAGCAGAGCGACTGTGGTCAATGCTTTCAACATGTCCACCTTATACATCTCAATGACCTGAAGGTGAGACGGTCCAAAACGAATCTAAACGAATGCAGTCTTTGGGTGAATTCATACACCTGACACACTCTTTTACACGGATGCGCCTCTAAGATGAGAAGGCTTGTCAAGTGTGCTGTACTTTACAGTATTTTCTCAACCGTCACCTCACGTCCACCGGGGCTTTTAAATCCAGACACCCACACTGACACCGACCAATCAGGCTGCTCCTCCCTCCAGGCGTTGTGTGACATTTGGGGTTGTGTTTGGTGTCGGGGTCTCCATTGTGCAGGTGGCGGCAGGCAGTGGGCCCTTCTGCGTCAGAGGCCCTTTTTACTCCGGCCCCTGTGCAAACACATTAAGAAGTGCCTTATCACTGCTTACACAGCAGCGCACCCGATGACTTTATCCACTCCTCATCAGGGTCAAAAGGGCCATCCCGAATCAGGACGACGTTTGATGTGTGCGCCAATGCAAATAGCCTTCATGCATATGAGAAGAAATTAGCATGAGCTGAAGTGCGTTTGATGACTATGATGCATTGGTGCATTTAAACTAATTATAAACTAGTCATATAAAAAAAAAAAAATTATGTGATTATATGGTGTTTTTTTTTTAAAATATAACTAAGCGTTTTGACATGTCAATCATGAGTATTTATAAATAACTTATTTAGCATGAAATCTGTATTAGTTTTCTCTCTTGACACTAGATCTGTTACATTTATATAAAAATCATTTTAATTAAACAGCATAATTTACCTGTGTCCATGATTTTTGATGTCGTCGCACCACTTATTTACAGTACTTCAGTGTTATTTGTGTATATTGTTAGAGTATTTATTCATATTTTCAAATTAACTTTTTAATTTAACTTCAGGTTTTAGTGATTTTGTCGTGTGCTTTTGTCAGTTTTATTAGTTTAAAAAAAATGACTAAAAAGCTTTAATTCATTTTTATTTTCAGTTTTAGTTATTTTAGTACTTCAGCTTAAACTTCAGTTGCCACATTTCTAATTTTCATTTAAGTATTATATAATATTTTCGGTTATTTCAATTAACTTCAATTAGTTTTATTTAACAATAACAACAAGACTGCAGTATAAGTGAAATGTAATTTTAAATAATATGATAATTTTCCGTTTTTCATGCTTGACAAGACTAGTCGAGCATAGCAAGAACAAAATGTGTCTAAATTGAATATATATATATATATTTATTAGGGTGTTTTTAGGCCTATATATGTTTATATATACTGTATATAACACCCTAATAAGTAAATTTGTGATTTACACACACACATATATATATACACTCACCGGCCACTTTATTAGGTACACCTGTCCAACTGCTCGTTGACACTTAATTTCTAAGCAGCCAATCACATGGCGGCAACTCAGTGCATTTAGGCATGTAGACATGGTCAAGACAATCTCCTGCAGTTCAAACCGAGCATCAGTATGGGGAAGAAAGTTGATTTGAGTGACTTTGAACGTGGCATGATTGTTGGTGCCAGAAGGGCTGGTCTGAGTATTTCAGAAACTGCTAATCTACTGGGATTTTCACGCACAACCATCTCTAGGGTTTACAGAGAATGGTCCGAAAAAGAAAAAACATCCAGTGAGCGGCAGTTCTGTGGGCGGAAATGCCTTGTTGATGCCAGAGGTCAGAGGAGAATGGCCAGACTGGTTCGAGCTGATAGAAGGGCAACAGTGACTGAAATAACCACTCGTTACAACCGAGGTATGCAGCAAAGCATTTGTGAAGCCACAACACGCACAACCTTGAGGCGGATGGGCTACAACAGCAGAAGACTCCACCGGGTACCACTCATCTCCACTACAAATAGGAAAAAGAGGCTACAATTTGCAAGAGCTCACCAAAATTGAACAGTTGAAGACTGGAAAAATGTTGCCTGGTCTGATGAGTCTCGATTTCTGTTGAGACATTCAGATGTTAGAGTCAGAATTTGGCGTAAACAGAATGAGAACATGGAACCATCATGCCTTGTTACCACTGTGCAGGCTGGTGGTGGTGGTGTAATGGTGTGAGGGATGTTTTCCTGGCACACTTTAGGCCCCTTAGTGCCAATTGGGCATCGTTTAAATGCCACGGCCTACCTGAGCATTGTTACTAGCATGGGGTACCTAATAAAGTGGCCGGTGAGTGTATATATATATATATATATATATATACATACATTTATTGACTCACTAGGGTGTTTTGGATGGTTGCTAGGGTGTTTCTAGGCTGTTCTGAATAGTTACTAGGGTGTTGCTAGGCAGTTGCTAGGGTGTTCTGGGTGGTTTCTTACTGGCCCAAGTGAAAAGAGTGAACCTTCAAATAAATTAAATGATGGCCTCTAGTCTACTTTTTTTTTTTTTTTTTGCATTTATGCACATTATAGTCCGCCTCATAATTTGAGAAATGATTCATATCTAGAATATGAGCAATATGAGCAATAGTGCCATCTCTAATAAAGCGAATTACTCTAGGATGCAAATAATAAAATCTGCAATGTTTGCTCGCTCCTGAACTTCTGGAAAGTTTTGGGTGAGAAAACGAATGTGTTCCTGCTGTTGAAAGTTAATGACACAGGAAGTGTCTGTTTCTGTTTGCTTTGAGCCGTGATGTCAGGAGAGCGGGACGGGAATGCGCTCAGGATAGATGAACGGGACTCAAAGCGAGACTCAGTTGCTGGGAAGAGAGAAGCTAACCTGAGAGCATCCAGTAATTCATTACCCTTTAGGGCCTGAATACAGTCATCACTTCTGTGAGTAAGCTTCAAAACTTCAACACTCGAAGGAAAACGTTGGTGACAAGAAAGTAGCCTTTTCTCATTTGTTTGTGGCAGTTTTGGAGTCAAAACCAGAAATAAAAACAAAAAATGTTTCATTGTATTATAGCAGTTTTTACCCAGAGCCGGATTTTTTTCAGATGGCTTTTAAATTGATATTTTTCCCGTCAGCTCTCTAGGTTTGGTTTTTTAACCTCCTCTCTTGCTGCAATCTTTCACTAGAGGTCAGTGTTGGATTTCCTTTAGCATGTTCTGTATCTGATGACAATTTCAGAGAAAGAAACAAGATGATCTGTTTAATCGTAATCATAAATTGATGTTTTTCCTGCAGTATTTCAGACATATTTTAAACTTAAAACACATCTGTTTACTTGTCCATTCATACAGTGCTGCATTATTTTAATTCTGTGTATGTCATTATTTTACTTATTCATTTTAGTCCATTTTAAAATGTAGTACTTTCTATGGCATGCATTTATATGTCTTTTGTTCTTTTAAGTCGTAATCTTAAAATATTGTAAATTTGACCTTTAACCTTTTATTTCTAGTCAAAAGTTTGTTTGTTTTTTAAACAAATTGTTATTTATGATTCAGCAAGGATGCATTAAATTGTCCAAAAGTGACATTTATAATGTTACAAAAGACACATTTTAAAATAAATATACACTACCGTTCAAAAGTTTGGGGTCAGTGAGAATTTTATTTTTATTTTTTGGAGGAAAGAAATCAATACTTAATTTGATCGAAAGTGACTGTAAAGACATTTATAATGTTACAAAAGATTCTATTTCAAACAAATGCTGTTCTTTTGAACTTCCTATTCATCAAAGAATCCTAAAAAAAAAAAAAAAAAACTGTACAACTGACAGACCAACAACTGTTTCAACATTGATAATAATAATAAATGTTTCTTGAGCATCAAATCCTCATATTATACTGATTTGTGAAGGATCATTTGACACTGAAGACACTGACACTGGTGATGCTGAAAATTCAGCTTTGATCACAGGAATAAATTACACTTTACTATATATTCACACAGAAAACAGCTGATTTACACTGGAATAATATTTAATACTATAACTGATTTTTGTTGTATTTTTAATCAAATAAGCGCAGCCATGGTTAGCAGAAGAGAATTCTTTTAAAAGTATTTAAAATCGTACCAACCCCAAACTTTTGAACGGTAGTGTATATCTATATAAAAGAATCATAAAAAATAAAAAATATCACTGTTTCAACAGAAACATGAAGCAGCACAACTGCTTTTTAAACATTGATAATAATCATAAATGTTTCTTGAGCAGCAAATCATCATATTAGAGTGATTTCTGAAGGATCATGTGACACTGAAGACTGGAGTAATGATGCTGAAAATTCAGCTTTGATCACAGGAATAAATTAAAGTTATATATTTTTTCACATAGAAAATAGCTATTTTAAATTGTAATAATATTTCACAATATTACTGTTTTTTTTTTCTGATCACATAAATGCAGCCTTGGTGAGCAAAAGAGACTTCCTTTAAAAACATTAACAAATCTTATACCGACCCCAAACCTTTGAACACTAGTGTATATGTAAATATCACATTGATTAAGAAAGAAAAATGGACAATATCTGAATATGAAATATTTCCATTAAGACTTTAGGGACAAGCACACACAGTCTGTCCACAATTGCAAGAATACAGATGTTAGCACCTAAATTGCATGATGAAGAGGATGAAAGTGTGAGCAGAGAGGAGATAAAGACGAGTGTGAGGCTGGACAGAGGAGGGAAGGGAAGGTCAGGCCGCAGAAAAGAGCGATTTGTTTTCAGTGAAACTCGAGCGCACACCCCCACTTACCGCCGGCGCAGGCTAGCGGAATCAATTACCACTTGTCAGGATGAAACCAAAGCCATGCAACACAATAAGGGCACGACCTAAGAATCTCTGTGTGAGCTCCTGTGTGTGTGATTGGGATTTTGTTGGTGACTTTTATTTGTTTGTTTGTACAGAGCAAGGCCTAGGCCCAAATATCAATATAAATGTATTTTATTTTTAATATTCGATCAATATTGTGGCTTCTTTTTCTCTTTTTATAAGTCTGTGTTATGTAAATAAAAAGTTTCAGAAAGGTTTTTGGGGTATAGTATGGAAGTACCTTATTAAATAACATGAAAATGTTAATCATTCAGTACAATCCATCGTTTTTACAAAATAAAACTGGCAGCTGTGATTGGCAGAA